TGGGGATGTACCCGGAGCCTTCCCACTGAGCTATATCCACGGCCTTTTTTTTTCTTAAGGTCTCACTAAATTGCCAGGGCTGGGCTCAAACTCATGAGCCTCCTAACTGCACCACCACACCCACCTTGAACTGAGCCCATTTTTCCAATTTCATCTTCAGTTATTCTCAAAGTGGCCGAGCTGTTCTCGAGCACAGCTTACCTCTAGACTTTGATGACGCTGTTCCCACTATATTTGTTACAGCCCCACCCTAGACAACATTACCCATCAAAACTATGCATTTTTCAACTAAAAAGTGGTTTGCACATTTTTATATGTTACCTTTGTAATAATTAAATGTTAGATGTAGACAGACAAATGTCTGAATGAGAATGGGTGCATTGGTGGCTCTAAGGAGGTTCTGAGGGAGGACTAATATTTAAATAGCACTTTCTGTGCACCAGGCACTGTTCTGTGTACTTTACACAGATTGTTCTCACCATTATCCCAAAAATTATGTGGTATGATATAAAAAAAAAAATGAATGCTTAAACTTTTATTAAAATTAATTTTTAACAAAATTATAGTTGGGGCCGGGGAGTTAGCTCAGTGGCATAAGGGCCTGCCATGCAAGCGCATGGTCATGAGTTTGATCCTCAGTACCAAAAAAAAAATTATAGCCAAATATGGTGCCACATGCCTGTGAGACCAACATTCAGGAGGCTGAGGCAGAAGGATCATGAGTTTGAGGTAGCCTGGGCTACATAGTGAGTTCAAGGCCAGCCTGAACTACATAGTGAAACCCTGTCTCAAAACAAAACAACGGAAACACATTGTCATTAACCCCACTAAAAGCTCTGCCCCTGCCTTGAACACATTTATCTCATTGTCCTTGCCACTTACTAAAGCAGTTCAGCGAGTCCTCTTTTGTGAATGTCTTCAGTCGTACTGTCACGGTTGCCTCAATGTCTTAAATCAATTCAAACTGTTTACAGTCATTTTGACTTTGGAGCAGAGACACATGTCACATTCCAGACATGCTAAATAAGGCAGATGAGAGCACACTAAATGTTTCACAAACCTGACTTTCCATCAGATGGCAGTCTCACCTCATAAAGATATTTTCAAAAGAAGACTTTATCAGAAAGTGGGCAGAGCAATAGGATTAGTGTGTTCAAAGGGACAGAGAGTTTTTTGAGGTGGATTATTGGTAATGTGTCCTTTATTATAAAATTTAAACATTTGTTTTGATTACACCTTATACTGTCCTCACTTTGCATTGAGGAAAACTGAGGTAGAGAGAGGTTAACTGACTTCTTAAACTTGTGCAGTCACTAATGTAGAGCTGGTATTTGAGTCCATATAAATCTTGGCTCTAAAGATACATGTAGTAACTTTATTTATTCATTCATTCATTTATTGACAAGGAGGTCTTGCTGTGTAGTTCAGGCTGGCCTTGACTTTAGCATGTAGCCAGGCTGGCCTCAAACTCTGAGATCCTCCTGTCTCAGCCTCCCAAGTGCTGAGATAACAGGCATGTGTTACCATGTCCCACAATAACTACATTTTAAAGTGAAAATGTGAAAATATTGCCTTCTATTTTTATTAAATAAAAGTGACACTTTAGAAGGCTGTATTATTTTTGGTTTTTTTGTAACAGGGTTTCACTATGCAGTTCAAGCCTTGAACTCACTTTGTAACCCAGGCTGGCTTCAAAGACAAAGCGATCTTTTTGTCTCAAACTCTGAGTACTGGGATTACAGGCATGAGCTACCCTGCCCAGATGGCTGCATGATGTTTTCAGCATATCTACCTACATCAAAACTGTTGATGTAGAGCCAAATTTGTAAATTTGGGCCTTGGCCCCAGAATAACATGACCAAAGAAAAGATCTCAACTCCTAGTCCCAAGCAACATAGGACTGGCATAGAGCCAATGGCATTTCCTGAAAAACTCAAGTCTCCTGGAAGAGCCAATACAGAGTTCTGTTAGTCAGGAAATGAAGGTTCAGAGAGCGGAAGTGAGAACTTCAAGGTCACAAAGCATACATACTGAGATGTATGATCACAGATTTGGAGGATAAACCTAACCAAAATCCTGCCATCATGATTATGTCCACTAGGTAGCCTATAGGAGGCCCATGTGAAAGGACAAAATCCCTAGATGTTTCTGGTAAATACTACAGTAGATGTGTATATTATTCTAGATGATTTCAGTTGCAGTTGCCAGGCGCCAACCTTAAATTGGTGTTTTGTAACAGAAAAGTCCATAAAGTATACACCTGTAATCATAGCTTCTGAGGTAGGAGAATTGCAAGTTCCAGGCCAGTCTAAGCAATTTTGGAAGACCATCTCAAAATTTAAAAGGGGCTGAGTGGGTATGTCATTCAGTGTTCCCTGGTTCAGTTTCCAGTTTGGAGAAGTGGCTTCCACACAAAGCCTTCCAAGTTTGGCTAGCTCCAGGAATTCAAATGATGCCACAAAAATTGCTCTTCTTCTCTCCTGCTGGTCTTGATGTTGGCAATCAAACCAAGGCCCTCACACATACTGTAAGTGCTCTACCTCTGAGCTTCATCCCCAGCCTCACAAAATGATTTCCTGATGTTTTCATTGTCAAACAGGTTTCTTTGTCAATTAAGTTCTCTCCCAAAAAGTGGCAAGACAACTACTAAGAGCTCCAAATTTATATCCTAGGGCTGGAGATTTAGCTCAGTGACATAAGCATCTGCCTGGCAAGCGCAAGATCATGAGTTCGTTCCCCAGTGCCACCACAACAAAACAAAGTGCACAAATTTATATCCTACTTGCTTAACCATCCTGGGGGGAGAGGATAAGGGGAGACAAATGTTTCTTGCCCAACAGAGCCTACAAGTACATTTCATTTGACCCCATTGCTAATAGCATCTCCCCTCAGTCCCAGCTAGTCACTAGCCCGAGGCAGGCTAATCTGAATGCTTTGATTTGCCAAACCGGTGTCATTTGCCAACTGGAACTGCAAGGTGTGACAACCTCACCAAACTACAAATGGAATGAGATGGAGGAAAGGTAGTTTCCTAAAGAAAAACCTGTGTTCTTACCAGAAGGAGGAGGAATGGATGATGGGCAGACAAAATCAATAGTCAGGGGCTGGGGATTTAGCTCAGTGCTTCAAGTGCCTGCCTGGCAAGCACCAGGCTGTGAGTTCAATCCATGATTCCAAAATAATAATAATAATAATAATAATAATAATAGCCACTACAAGGTGGGCACACACTTGTCATCTCAGCATTCTGAGAGGCTGAAGGAGGAGTATGGCAAGTTGTAACCCAGTCTGGGCCACTTAGTGAGACCCTACCTCAAAATAAATAAATAAATGGCTGAGGATATAGCTCAGTGCAAAGGGTTTAATCCTAAGTACCAAAAATAAAAGGAAGTTCAGGGACTGGGTTTTGAGCAGAATTGTAGAGCACTTACCTAACATGCATGAGGCTCTGAGTTTCATCCCCAAAACAGGGGCTCAAATCCTGTCTCATAGTAAAAATCATACAGTCTTATGACTCATTACTTCTCCCATCCTGTTCTCGTGTCTATTCAATCTAAACTACATCAGCTGCCTTGTTATTTCTAAAATATACCAAGCCCATTTACCCAAGGGTCTTTGCATTGACTATTCCCTCTGTCTGAGATTCCCCCTTCTCCAGATAGCTACATGAGGTCCTCATTCCTGTCCTTCAGCAAAGCCCTATTTAAATTTGCAACTCTATTCCCCTTTCCTGTTTTTCCTTTACATTTTCCTTTTCTAACATACTCCAGAATTTACTATATTTATGTCTATCTCCCCCCACTTGACTGTAAGCTCTGCAGATATCAAATATTTATAATTCATTTAATTAATGTTGATGTCTATCATGTGTCAAGCACCGTGCTAAGCAATGGAGCTACATGGTGATTAAGGCTGCTTATATAAAAAAAAGACTGCTCATAAGTCTAGTGAAGGAAATACAGTAACAGTAGTAGTACATTTAGCAAATGCTTCCTCTGCATTACAAGCTTGCCAAAAATAACAATGATGGCTAACGTTAATTAAAATGGACTGTACAGTTAGGTGTTGTGGTGTGCACACGTGTAGTTCTTCCTACTTAAGAGGTTGAGGCAGGAAGATCCAAATTTGAGAACACTCTAAGCAATTTAGCAAGACCCTGTCAATAAATAAGTAAATATATAAATAAGGTGAATAATGTAGTTTAGTGGTACAGTGCTTGGCTAGCATTCATCAGGCCATGGGTTGAACCTCTACTACAGCAAAACAGTAAGACTCAGACTATTCAACATGCGTTATTTCATTTAATCCTCAACCAAAATCTATAAGGTGAATATTATTAACCTTACTGAAAAGACCACGAGCCAGGCGTAGTAGTGCATGCCTATAAACCCAGCATTGGGGAGGCTGAGCAGGAGGAGCTCTGAGATTGATGCCAGCATGGTCCACATGAGGGTGTTCAAAGCCAACCTGAACTACATGTCTCAAAAAAAAAAAAAAAAAAAAAAGAAAAAGAAAAAACCAAGAAACAGGATTTAAACCTCAAAATTGGCAGAGCCAGCATTTGAAATAAGGTGAGGGAAATGAGAACGAACAAATAAAATGAGGTAAAGTGGAAGAAATGCTAAGAAATTAGGGTCAGCAAGTCTAGCTCAAAGATAGGATGTGTGGTATCTGAGGGAAAAATAAATTGACATCCACGCTTTGGGGTGTTCCAAAGTGCAACAAAGCCCAAGAGACAGATGAAAACTTAATTTTGGACGTGTTGAGATGCCAGTGAGGTGCTCTTTGATACAATCTATCTCCAACAGGAGCAAAGAAGTTGTTCCGGCATCTTTGAAGAGGCACGCACGGAAAGGAGATGGTTCTCCTGCCTCTCGAGTCTACTCAGCGCCAGCCGCAAGGAGGGAGTGGGGAACCGCAAGACAAAGAGCGCTTCTGCGACGCCTTGTCCCGGCGGTCCCTTTAAGAAGCGCGCGCCCAGGTCCCAGCCCGCCTCGTATGCAAATTTAATAGCGAGACGGGAGCGCGCAGCTGAGAGCCGGAGACTGGGCTGCTGCGGTTAGTCCTCTCCCGGCCGCCGTCGCCTCCGACATATTGCCCGCAGGAGCTGCGGCGGCGAAACGGAGAGCGCCGGGGGGAGGAGATGGGTGAGCAGAATGGGTCAGACCTTATCCTGGGAACGAGCGGGCGCTGGGGCCAGGTTGGCCAAGCTACAAATTACTGCCCCAGGCGGACTAGGTTCTGGCAAGGAACGGGGGAGGGGATGCGGGTGCAGAAGGGACACCGCCCCCTCCTGTCGTTTTGCGAGGTGGGGCCTCTGTTGTGGGGGCGGGACTTTGGGATGGTGGGCGGGGCCTCCTCATTAAAGAGGACTTGTAGGGGTTTGGCCTTGGAGGCGGACCCGCTAGTCCGGGCTAGAAATGGGGGCGGGACTCCAGAGTGGGCGTGGCTCCGCACCAAGGGCGGAACTTTTGGGCTGTAGGGGCTTGTGCGGAGGCGAACTTTTTGCTTTGGGAAGGCTTATTCTGCAGGCGATGAGGCGCAAAGGAGTCCTTTCAGATGAAGAGAGATCATTCTGCAGTGGGATTTCTAGGATGAGGAAGCTTTTACTGGCTTGTAGGCGGGGTTTCTGCGCTGACAGTCGTGTGTGGGCGGAGCGTATGGTTTGAGGTTTATGTGGGGGCAGAGCTTCTAAAGATGGCAGAGTGGGTGTGGGTCGAGCTTCTGGGCCGAAGGTGTATGTGTGGGGTTTTCCAAGCCAAATGTAATAGTGTGTGGACAGAGCTTCTGGTCTGCGGGGAGCTTGTTGAAAGCAGAGCTTCAGAGCAATCTCTTTCTTGGAGAACTACCTGAGTTGAGGGGCCAAAGCCTGGTGTGTTTAATTTTTGTTAGTACATGTTTGTAGTACATGATAATTACATTCATCATGGGGAGTTGGGACATGTACGTGACACGTCTTAATTCTTTTTACCTACCTTTCCTCACCCTGCTACCCCCCCTCCCTCCAATCCTTGGTTCCCTTCCCGTTTGCAAAAGATCTTCTTGTTTCGCATTGTGGTGTATTTATGAGTAGAGGCTGCTATGTTGCCATTTGGAGTGTAAACAGATTATAACCTTGTTCAGACTGTTAGGTATTGTGTAGGATAGTGCTCAGGGTCTCAGGCTAGAATCCCAAGTCTAGGAAAATATGTTGTGAATACAAGTTTGTTTTTTGTTTTTGTCTTTTTCCTTTTTATTGGTACCGGGGATCGAACTCACGACTGCCTGCTTGCAACGCAGGCGCTTATGCCGCTGAGCTAAACCCCCAGCCCCTGTGAATACAAGTTTTGAGCCCACATTTTTGACTCTTTTTTTTTTTTTTTTTTTTTTTTTGTCTTTTTCATTTTTATCGGTACCAGGGATCGAACTCATGACCGCCTGCTTGCAAGGCAGGTGCTTATGCCGCTGAGCTAAATCCCCAGCCCCACATTTTTGACTCTTAAGTCCGGCTTTGGGACCTGCCCATAAGATACTGGGGATTGAGCCTCAGGGTTTTGGAAGAAAAAGTGGCCTCAGAGGTGCCTAAAATTTTAAGCCTCCAGGAACTTGAACAGATGGGGCCCAATGTGTATCAGAGTTGAGAGCTTAGGACTCACATCCAGGTACTGTCTGTGATACAGTGAAAACTCAGCTTCCTAATCTGAAAAAGGTGCCTTTCTGGGCTCATTAACTCATCAACATATACTTGCTGTGCATTGTGATACACTTAGGGAAAACAGCAGTGAAAAATATATAAGGTTACTGACCTTTCATTTTAATTAAAGAGGCAATAAGCATTTTAACAAATAAGTAAGAGAAGAGGGCCGGGGATTTGGCTCAGCAGCATAAGCTCCTAGGTGTGAATTTGATCCCTGGTAAAAGAAAAAAAAAGTAAGAAAATATCAGGGAATGAATTGTGTGTGAGGGGGAAGAAACAGAATGGAAAATAATGAGGGACGTACTTCAAAAATGATAGGGAGGCTGGGGAATTAGCTCAGCAGTATAAGCTCCTATGTGGCAAGCATGAGATCGTGAGTTCCATCCCTGGCACCAAAAAAAAAAAAAAAAAAAAAGACAGGGAAAGTATATAGACAAAGTATACAGTAAGTGTGAGAGGTAACAAGAATCTTGGCTTCTAAGAATGAAAGGCCAAGATGGCTATAGCATGGTAGTGAGGTTAAAAAGGTAAGGTAGGCAAGTCCAGATTATAGGCCCTATCAGCATTAAAGGGTCTTGATATATAGTCCAGGCTCAGCCTTGAACTTGCCATGTGGTCCCAAACTCCAACTTGCCAGGCTGGCCTCAAACTTCTCCTGCCTCAACCTTCTGGGTGCTGGAATTACAGGCGTGTGTCACTGTGCCTCTCTTGCTTTTTGTCCTTGATATATGCTCTCTGGCTTAAGCATCTGCTTTGTGTTGAGTCCCACAGGAGGACGAAGAGGTCCCAATAGGACATCTTACTGTCGAAATCCACTCTGTGAGCCAGGATCCTCAGGAGGCTCTGGTGGGGGCCACACTTCCAGTGCATCAGTGACCAGTGTCCGTTCCCGCACCAGGTAAACTTTCTGTCTCTCATCCCTCACTGTGACATTGTGGCAAAGCTATCCTTGACTGTTTTGAGATATGATATCTTAGATACCTGGTGGGGGGATAAAGGAGAGTGAACAGCATAAAGGTTATAGAGGAGCTCAGTTGAGCTGATCACTTGCAAATATGCAGTGAGACATTGTAGATTAAGCCCAAGGTCCTTGATTTTTGCTCCTCTGTTTCGTTCCCGATTTGCTGGTGGATTAGACCTTGACCTCTTTTTCCTCATCTATAAACTGGACCTAATAATTCTCTCCTGGGGGATACTGAAAAAGCTAAATAAACTTATGGGTAGGAAAGACTGTTGACTTTTCTGCTAGACAAGATTAGGACTTCATGCTTGTCATGAACTGTTTTACTGATCTTTCCCTGTAATCCCGTGCCCCAGAAGCTCTTCTTGGTGAGGTTCTCAGTTCAGCCCTAATGTTATTCCCTTCCTATCCTCAGGAGCAGTTCTGGGACAGGCCTTGCCAGTCCTCCACTGGCCACCCAAACAGTTGTGCCTCTGCAGCACTGCAAGATCCCGGACCTGCCCGTCCAGGCCAGCGTTCTATTTGAATTACAGCTTTTTTTCTGCCAGCTCATAGCCCTTTTTGTCCACTACATCAACATCTACAAGACAGTGTGGTGGTACCCGCCTTCCCACCCACCATCCCACACCTCCTTGGTAGGTGCCAAGCCAGGGTGAGCGTGTGTGTGTGTGTGTGTGTGACATTTGGTTTTAGTTTAATATAGTCTATCAGGCATCACTGTGTACTTGGCCCCATATGGGGGATGGGGTGGGGGGAAATATAGAAGGAATAGGAAACTGATGATACTTACATATTCCCAGTGTGCTTAGGACTGCACTGGGCATTGTAAGGCTAACAGAGATGAATTGGACAGTCTTGCCTAAAGATGCTCAGGTCATAAGTACTGTGGAGGAGACAAGCCACAAATCAGTATGAATGTTTCAGGGGTAGAAAGAGCCCTGTGCAGAAGAGATACAAGGACAGGGGCATGAGTGCTGAGAGCCAGAGGGCTCACACACCACCCTCTTTTCCTCAGGGACTGTCCCACTTTTCTTCTCTGGGTCCTGTTCTACTCTAGGTAATTTCCTGGCCTGACTCACCTGGAGGCCAATGAAGGTCAGAGAATGGGGACAGTCTCTATGGAAAGGACCTGGCAGAGGGAGGTGGTGGGTTTGAGAAAAGCATTTGTGTGGACAAAAGACCTATGTGACCCCCAAGCCTTCTGCCCCTTGACAGAATTTCCACCTGATCGACTTCAACTTGCTGATGGTGACTACCATTGTTCTGGGCCGTCGCTTCATTGGGTCCATCGTGAAGGAGGTGATTGGGTCCTAGAGGCTGACCAGGGATTTTGGGACTCCTTTTTCCCCTGGGGGTACCAAGGAGACTCACTCAGCCTTTCAACCCTGAGGTATATCCTTGGGGCTCCCTTTGGACTTGTTTGAAGAACATTAATTACATCACTTTGGCTCTCACAGTTTACTGGGCATCAAAGAGTAAGGTTCACTTTGCCAGGTTCTATGCAGCCTGCTGCATACCTTTCCCTGGGAGGATCACAGGCTGTGATGGGTGGAATTTGGGCACAACTCCTGTGGCCTCCATCCAAAGCCCCATCCCATCCTGTCTCGCCCTGACCCAGGCTTCTCAGCGGGGAAAGGTCTCCCTCTTTCGCTCCATCCTGCTGTTCCTCACCCGCTTCACCGTTCTCACGGCAACAGGCTGGAGTCTGTGCCGATCCCTCATCCACCTCTTCAGGACCTACTCCTTCCTGAACCTCCTGTTCCTCTGCTATCCGTGAGTACCCCTCACTTCACCCCTTACTGCCTCTGCCTTTAGAATATCTGGGTTGTCTGGCCTCCTTGTCTGGGAAGACTCTTAGGCAGGCAGTGACAGTATTCTCTCACATTATATAATGACATGCCCCTGAGATAGCCCTCTTTTGTAGGTGGCATAATTTACTAAATCTCCCACTGATGGGGAAATCAGAATGGAACTCAGATCTAAGTGTGTATGCCAAAAAAAATATACAGGGAATGCTTTGTCTGTCTGTCTGTCTATCTGTCTCTGTCTCTGTGTTGTCTGTCTGTCTGTCTCTCTCTCCCTCTGTCTCTCTCTCTCTCTCTCTATATATATATATATATATATATATATATATATATATATCACAGGGTCTGTATAGTCTCTTGTGGCTCCCAAGTCTGTGTACTGGCAAGCACCTGCATGTGTGCATGTCTCTGTGTGGGAGTCTGTGCATGAAGCAAACCCATATATATTTGGTGTCTGCAAGTGCATGGGTGTATGTATGTGCGTGTCTATTATTTTCATGTCTGGTTAGCTCCTTCCATTTCATGAGAACCCAGATTGGGGAGGCTGGAGAAAGAGTTTCTGGGTAGAGCCCAGAACTGCTCCTTTCTGGCCTAAAATTGAAATTTGACAAGGTGTGATTTCACTGCTTGGGGGAGGTTCCTGGCTACCTGGGCATTTTCAGTCATTTCTCAACCCTGGTTCATAAACTTCCTGAAGCCAAGCCAGTCCTGGTTCCTGGGAAGCTTCAGGGCTATACACTACTCCCTTTCTATCCTGCATAACTAAGGTGACACTGGTTGGATTCTCATCAAATTTGTTTCAATTATGTCTAATTTTTAATTATTAGGATGACACATGTCTTCTAAAAACATTAGAAGTACCACAAAAAAACTCTGCAGAAAGTTTTGTTGTTGTTTTTGCTAAAGCTGGAGATCAAATCCATGCTTGGCAAGCACTCTACCACTCACCTACTTCCCCAGTACTCTATAGAAGCTTATAACATAGAAAATGAAAGGACCTGCATGATCTCAGAAATCCACTAATCATTTGCAACATATGCTTCCAAACTTTTTCCGAATAAATACACACTCACACTCATTCCCTTCCTGCCTGCCATCCATCAGTCCTTCCTTTTTTTTTTCAGTACTGGGAATATTTTGAATTACATCCCCAGCCCTTACTTATTTTTTCATTTTATTTTATTTTGAGACAGAGACTTGCTAAGTTAGAAGGTCCCCAGGCTGGGCTTGTGATTGTCCTTACCTTAGCCTCCCAGAGTTACATGCATTTTTTTTTTTAAGTAAAACTAGGTTTATGCTACATATGATGTTATACAATTTACTACACTTTACACATAATCATACAACTTGGGTGTTTTTCCACGGAAATATATATGATTATGGCCTGGCACTATTCTGTCCTGTAGAATTTTTGCAATTAGATTTGTCTCCTATCAACTTTGAGTTGTTGTACCTTTTCTTTATTCTTAGCAATGAGGCAGCTGGGCATGGTGGTCCACTCCTGTAATCCCAGCACTCAGGAGGTGGAGGCAGAAGGATCGCCACTAGTTTGAGGTCAACCTGAACTACATAGAGAGACCTTGTTTTTAAAAAAAGCGGATGGGATGTGGGGTTGGGATATAGGTTAGCAAGCTCGAGGTTGCAAGTTTGATTCCCAGTACCAAAAAAAAATGAGGCAATACATTTTGGCACAATTATCCAGAATTGTTGTACCAGATTTCCAGAAGTAGAATCACTGCACAAAAGATATGTTGTGTCCATTTACATGTATTATAGATATTAACAAATTAATGTAATCCCATTACTCTGGGTAACTGAGGCAAAAAAAGATCACAGATTCAAGCTTAGCAACATAGAAACTTGGTGAGACCTTGTGTGAGTAAAAATGTTTTTAAGAAGTCTGAGAATCTAGGTCTGTGTGAAGATCATGATTTCAATCTTCAGTAGCACGTACACATGCAAAAAAGCATATAGTTCTGCTGGGAATTTAGCTCAGCAGCATAAGCGCCTGCCTGGCAAGCACAAGGTCGTGAGTTCAATCCCCAGTACCACAAAAAAAGTATATAGTTCTTGATGAGTTGTTCTCTTTGCATACAGACATCACCCATGTCCCCTATTTTTATTTATTTTTTAGTTTTTTTAAACTAATGCATTATAAAAATTTAAATCTAATGCTAACAAGCTTATAATGAGACGCAGTAACCTCCAACCATACCTCCAGACTTTTTCCACTTTTCAAAAGCAATGTCTTAAGGGGCTGCGGATTTAGCTCAGTGGCATAAGCACCTGCCTTGTAAGCAGGCAGTCATGAGTTCGATCCCTGCTACCGATAAAAAGACAAAAAAAAAAAAAAAAAAAGGATGAAAAAAAAAACAAAAACAAAAACAAAAGCAATGTCTTTGAGTTTCTGTTTTTGACTTATCACCATAGTCCTTGTATTCTTGTACCTTTAGTTTTACTTTTAAATTTATTTTCTGTTTTTATAATTGGTTAATAAACTCGTGTAGTTAAAATTCCAATAGTATAAGAATATGGAGTGAAAGCTTTCCCTTGACTGCAGCCACCCATCTACCTAGTTTCCCTTCCAAGAGATAATCACCAATGTTTCTGGTTTCTCGTGTGTCTCGAAAATAAAACATTCTATACATATATGTGCATACCACATACAACATGCATGCATACACACATTGATTTCCTGTGGTGACAAAAGTTATGTGTTTTTCTTCTTTTTTATTTAAAGAGAGGAAAAAAGAAAGGACATAAAAAACAGTGCAGTAAAAGGATATACATAATATAGTATTTCAAGAAAAAAAGGTATACAAAATCACCAGTTAATAAGTTACATATTATCTTCCCAGAAACAGTTGTCCATATTACTAAATTAAAGCATATAAAGTGGACATTCATACAGTGAAATTGGAGACAGTTCCATTCAGTGATCCAACAAAAGCTCAGTTGTATGGTTTTTCATCCTACACACTCGAACATACCTGCGGTTATATCCCTTAGTCCACCTTACTTTCCTCTCTTTTTTACAGTAACAGTTAAACTTTTAGGGTTTTATTACTCTCATGGTGCTTATTACTTTTTTGAAGAGAATAAAACCAAATGTGACTAAGCAGAACAGAGTCAGAACAGAAGGGTGGGCGTAGCACATGATGCAAAAATAGAATACCAGGTGATCAAAAGTGGTTATTACCATTGTGCCTCTTGCTATTTTTAAATTGAGTTGTCTATATCATCAGGTATAATCGAATTGATCAAAACAGTACAGAACAAAACAAATAAAACCTACAATGAGGACTTTACAGGACTTCAAAAAAAAAGGATAATAGTCAATTCATATTGAGCATCATAGTATATCTTATTGCCTTCAAAGTGGTTGCCTATACCCTCAAACTTGATACTATCAAACAAAATAGAATATATAATAATCAGACAGAACAAGATGGGGAGAGTAATACTGGGGTTCAAGTCAGGTTAATAGGACAACAAAAAAGTTACTATAATATGTCCTGTAATTTTTTAGTTTTCCCTTAATTAAAAGAGAGAAAATAGATTAAATTTTAAATCTTAAAAAGTGGGGGGGATTGAGATAAGGGAGGACATTGTAATAGAACAATGCAGGGCAGAACCGAGCAATTCAAGCATCATTGTGTTTTTCTTCTTTTGAGACAGTCTTGCTATGTAGTTCAGGCTGGCCTTGAACTCACTATGTACCCCCAGGCTGGCTTCAAACTCCCAGCAGTCTTCCTCCCTCAGCCTTACTGGGATCACAGATGTGTACCACCTCTCTCAGCTCTCAATAAAGATTTAGCTCATTCTCTCATCCCTCAAAGTATTTGATTATTATTGTATTTAGTTTTCTATTGTCTTTGCAATTACAAAAGTATTCTAGGAGCTGGGAGTGTAGCTTAGTAGTAGAGGGTTTGCCTAGCATGGGATATGCAAGGCCAAGGGTTCCATCTCTAATGCTGTCAAGAAAAAAAAAGGTTTTTTTGTTTTGTTTTGTTTTTTATTTCATCAACAGTAATTACGTGTGTTTTGTTTTGTTTTTGTAGTACTCGGGGTTGAACCCAGGAGCACTAAAGTAGATCCCTAACCCTTTTTTTTTTTTTTTTTTTTGTCTTTTTTGAGATGGGGTCTTGCTATGCAGTTCAGGCTGGCCTGAGCTCACTTTATAGTCCAGGGTGGTCTCGAACTCGCAAGGATCCTCCCACCTCAGCCCCCCAAGTGTTGGGATTACAGACGTGAACCACCATGCCCAGCTCCCTAACTCATTTTAATTTTATATTCAGAACAGGTCTTGCAAAATTGCCTAGTCTTTCTTTGAGCGTATAATCCTTCTGCCTTACTTTTGAGACTATTGAGGATTACAGATGTGCACCATTGCACCAGGACAATAGTATCTTCCCTATAACACAAGAGAAGACTATTAGGAACGCTCCCCATCTACCTTCCTCCACTCTTTCTTCTCAGTTTCTGGCAGTTGTAGCCTTTTATATTGTCAAGCTTGATATTCAAATGCTATATGACTATGTTGAAGTCTTCCATTCTTTGTCTAAAGCTAATTCTAAACATTAAACTACAATAAAGAGCCTTAATACAGTTACCTGTATGAAAATATTCACTGCAGGGCCTGGTAATGTACATAAATGACATTTCTTCTTTATAATTGCTGAGTTACTATCTTAGAGAATGTTACTAGTATTAAAATCAAATGGTTTCTCTTGTCTTACATTCCATCAGTTGCTTAAAATCATGTCACAGAAAAAGTTGCGTCACATTTTAATTTTGCTTCATATTTAGATTGTAACTTTCTTATATAACTTTTTTAATCTTGGGGTTTCTAATTGCCTTTCTCTTCTCTTGTTGACAAAAGAATGATGGTCCTTCAATATATCCTCAAGTTTATCCAGCTTCTCAGTCATGCTACCTATTGCCTGAAGTCCATTTCCCCTACCCCAAGACATCTTTCCTAGAGGCTCCCATTCTCTTGCTCCAGCCTGGAGTGGTTGCTTTTTAGGCCTGCTGTACAACTCTCAGCCTGGAATTTCCTTTCACTGCCCTTCTGGGTTGGATCCACTGTTTCCTGGATCCCATGTCTTCCTCTTTCTTGGTTTTTTCCCTTATTTTCCTGGCGTGCAGATCAGGTAATTTCCTTAACAGTGGGTATTTGGGAAGTATATACATTCTGAGTCCTTACATATTTAACAATGTCTTTGCCCTCATACATTACTGAATATATATTTTTAGGTTTAAATTCATATTTTTTCAAAATTTTGAGGATACTATTCCATTGTCTCTAGGATCTGTTGGTGTTAGTGATAAGCCTGATGTCCTTTTGACTCTTAATTCCTTTATGGATGACTTAATAAGTATTCAATGCATGTAATATTTGCCCCTTCAACTCTCATATTTCTATTGGGAAGTATTTTGCTGTAGGTGATGGCTTCTTCATCTGTCAATATATTTTCTTCTGCTTTCTCAGTTTTGTCAGTCATTTGTGTACTAATGAGTGTCCTCCCATTTTTTTCTTTTTGCTGATGTATATTTATTTTCTACTTTTACACTGTCAAGAGTGAGTGGAGAGCATGGGAGGGAATCTGCCATCTTGCATGTAAAGATGCTTCTAATTTCTAACCTGTCAAAAAAATCACTTAGTGGCACCAAATAAGTTAGTTGCTCGCAGGACTTATCTGTGGTTCTTAGAGGCAAAACCAGGGAGGTTCTTAAGTATTTAACTATAAGATAGAGACTGAGTTCCTTATATTTTCACGTAACACTCTTTTTGCTCCTATTTCCCACAGGGTATCCTGAAGAGTGTTTTGGGAATTCCATTTCAGCCTTCTTTCCTGTTCCCACAGGATCACTGTCCTCTTTATTTTTCTAAACCAAATTGTATTCATCTTCTGTTTAGAGCCAGATATCATGCTGGAGGGTTGTTGCAAAGACTGAAAGAGAGTAGTTATGAAAACACTAGTTTAACGCCTGGCTGAAAGAAAAGGATCAATACAAGTTGTGTAACTGTATAACGTAGGGCAAGTTAAGGAAACAGTAGTTCTTAGAAGTTACGTAACAGTCCTAAACACATACCTAGTAATTGGCAGAGTGGGATTTTAATTCATATCTCTTTGACCCCAAATATTATGCCTTTTAAAAATATTTATTTATTGAAACAGGTTTTCAATATGTAGTTTCAGCTGGCCTTGAGGTCCCTATGTAGGCCAGGCTGGCCTCCCAGTTGCACAGATCTTCCCTCTTTAGCCTCTGGAGGGCTGGAATTGCAGGCATGTGCCACCATATCCTGCTTTTTTTTTTTTTTTTTGGTCTTTTTCCTTTTTATCTGTACGGGATGGAACTCATGACTGCCTGCTTTACAAGGCAGGCGCTTATGCCACTGAGCTAAATCCCCAGCCCCGCCCCCCCCCCCGCCTTTTTTTTTTTTTAAAGAGACAGGATCTTGCTGTGTTGCCTAGAATGGAAAACGTCCGAAGTAGTTTGCCACCACACTCAGCTAAGGTGTTATACTCTTGACTATAATTCTTTTCTTTTCTTACCTTTTTGAGACAGAGTCTCACTAGACAGTTCAGGCTGGCTTTGAGCTCAGTTTGTAGCCCAGGCTGTCTGAAATTCGCAATGATCCTCCTGCCTCAGCCTCCTGAGTGCTGGGATTATAGATGTGAGCCACCACACCCAGCCTTAACCATAATTCTTTAAGTATCTTACTTAATATTACCATATGAAGAATGTTCTGTCTTATAGACAGGAAAACAAAAGCCCAAAGAGGCTAAATTATTTATCCAGGGACAGATATTCCTTCTTGGGATCCCCTCCCCCCAAAAATTCTAAGAGTTATAGTTAAGAAATGTAGCACTAACTGAACGAGATAACCCATGCCTGTAATCCTGGCACTCAAGAAGCTGAGGCAGGAGGATTACCATGAGTTTGAGGTAGCCTGACATAGTGAGACCCAATCTCAAAAAAAAAAAAGAGGACAAGGAGGAGAAATGTAGCACAGAGCTGATTATGGTGGCATATACTTATAATATCAGCAATGTGGAAGACTGAGGCAAAAAGATCCAGCTGGGCAACTTAATGACTGAGCCCCTGTCTCAAAAAAGGGCCACGGGTGTCCCTCACTATGATGGGCCTGGATTCAATCCCTACTACTCAAAAAACACTATTAAACTGTACCTAGACATGGTGGCTCATGCCTGTAATGCCAACACCTGAGAGGCTGAGGCAAGAAAATTACTATGAGTTTGAGGCCAGCCTGGGCTATAGTGAGTTTGTTGGGTTTTGTTGTTTGTTTGTTTTGGCGATAGTGAGTTTACCCACCTGAACTGTAAATAGAAATTCTGTTTCTTTTTTTGTCTCCAAAAAACAAAAAAAGTCAGGTGTGGTGGCACATGCCTATAATTCCAGTATTTGGGAAGCTGAGACAGGAAATTTGCCATGAGTTAAAAAATAAAAAAGCCCTTACCCAGTTTTTTATAATTATAGTCCTCCCTTGGTACTCTGGAGGACTCAGTTCAGGACAACCTAGATATTAGAGGATGCTCAGATCACTTATAAGATATATGGTATTGTGCACATAACCTATTCACATCCTCCTTGTGTACTTCAGTAAGTAATCATTTCTACATTATTTATAATACCTAATGCAAAATAAATGCTTGCAAAAAGTTACTATACTCTTTTAGAGCAGGTGTGTTTAATCTGTAGCCCACTTTTTTTCCCATTTTTTTCATGAGAAAGAGTTGTCTTCAGCTGCATATAAAATACATAATATAGTTAATATATATGAGTAACCGAACTTTTAAAAATACCTTTACTGTAACATCAAAAAAATGAAAGAGGAGCTGGGTGTGGTGGCACACGCCTGTGATCCCAGCTCTTGGGAGGCGAAGGCAGTAGAATCACTGTGAGTTCACGGCAGCCTGAGCTACATAGTGAGACCCTGTGTCAAAACAAACAGGCAAAAAAAAGGGAGTGGGGAGCAAACCACAGATTGTCCAGTACATCGCTGATTTAAAGACTGACAGTGTATAAAGCCTGTGCATGTTCAGTACACATGCAGACATGCCAGTGCCATAGGCCTAATTCGCTATGTAGTTCAGGTCGGCCTTGGACTCACTGTGTAGCCCAGACTGGCCTTGAACTCACAGTGTGCTTCCTGCTTTCAGCTTCCCAAGTGCTGGAATTACAGTTATGTGCCACTACACCCAAACAATTGCTTTTTCAGATGGATATTGTCTTTTTTTTTTTTTCTTTCTTTCTTTCTTTTTTTTTTAAGAGGGGTATTTTCAATCCAAGTTTGCTTGAATCTGCAGATGGAGGATCCACAGATATGAGGGCTCACTGTATTCTTCTAGTCTGTGGGCCTGTCTAGTTTCTCCTCACACAGCAACAGACATACCTTGAGAAACTGAGCCCATTGACGTATACCTGTAATTCCAGTGAGTTGGGAGACTGAGACAGCAGGATCACAAAGTTGAGGCCAGCGTGAGCAACTTAGTGAGCCCGTGTCCAAAACAAAGGCTGGGACGCCACTAAGTGATAGAGCACTTGCGTAGCTTGCCCAGGCTCCAGGTTCAATTCCTAGTGCCACAAAAAACAAAGCAAAACAATCCTAACTGAAGGGTGCTGCTCACAGGAAGAGATTGTACTGTTTAAGGGTCCATTTCACCACTGGTATTTAATAGGCACAAAAAAAATACCTGCACGTGGTCCAGTGCAAAGTTAAGAGCTGCCTCTTATATGCCTTATGCTTCATTCATATAATTTATACTTTTTTTGTTGTACCTTGTACACTTTTAATTAATTAAATTGGTTTTTTGAATGTCTGTCTTGATCTTTGGTACCAGACAGAGCTGGGTCTGAGCTGTATTTCTTTCTTGCTAATTGTGTAGCTATTTAGGAATTTACTTCATCTCTCTAAGCCGCAGCTTCCTTAGCTGAAAAGGGGACAAAATGGCAGTATCCAATTCATGCTGGAATTATAAGAAGAAAAAAAAGGTACATGTAAAATACAGAACATGGACTAGGCCAGTGTGTGGGAATTTTTATAATTAATATTGCTAGAGGGTGTGGGCAGGCTATCATTGCTAGAGGGTGTGGGCAGGGACTTGTCTCTTGCTTCCTACTGAATGCCTAGTGTGCAGCACATACTCAGTGCTATTATGTTCAAAAACCACTGGATGGTAGCATAGATGAACGGAAGAATGGGTAAATTCCCTTTGAAGTATCCAAGAAAGCTGAGGCTCAGAGAGAAACACAGACCCCTTGTGGGGTTGAGGGTTGGGGTCCAAGCCCATGGGCAGGTCCGTTCTCACCACTGTCCTCCCCAGCAGGTTTGGGATGTACATTCCATTCCTACAGCTGAACTGTGATCTCCGCAAGACAAACCTCTTAAGCCACGTGGCCTCCATGGGGCCCCGGGAGGCAGTGAGTGGCCTGGCAAGGAGTCGGGATTACCTGCTGACACTACGGGAGACATGGAAACAGCATACGCGACAACTGTATGGCCCAGAAGCTATGCCCACCCATGCCTGCTGCCTGTCACCCAGCCTCATCCGCAGTGAAGTGGAGTTCCTCAAGATGGATTTCAACTGGCGAATGAAAGAAGTGCTTGTCAGTTCCATGCTGAGTGCCTATTATGTGGCCTTTGTGCCTGTCTGGTTTGTGAAGGTACACTGCTCAATCCAGGGAGGGACAGGGCCTGGCTGGGACTTTAGCTTGCTGCCTGCCTGCTGTCAGCCCTCCTGCTTGCATAAATAACTGCTGTTTTGTTGTTGTTGTTGTTTGCTTTTTTTGTTTTGTTTTGTACTGGGGATCGAACTCATTGACCTCACACTTGCCAGGCAGGGATTTATGCCAGTGAGCCAAATCCCCAGCCTAATAACTGTGTTTTTATGGGATTTCCCTCTTGTTCTCTAGAGAGTTAAGAGTGATTATTGTCTGTGTTTTAGAGACAAGACTCCCTGAGAGAACGTGACCTGCTTAAGGTCACTCAGCCACTGATAACAAAGAACAGTAATTTTGTACAGTATTTCAGTGGCTGTTTTGATACAGGCATGTAACAGTGTCCTGCCTTATCTTTTAGTAGGGAAACCAAGATTCATCCAGATCTGAATGACTCCAAAACTCCGTGTATAGCTTCCTGGAAGGTACCTCCTCAGCTACAATGGTCTTAGAACGTTCATACAGGATGCACTCTACCTTAAGATTTGAGGTTGAGAGGATTTTATGTAGGTGTTGAACACCTAAAAACCTGAGGAATTTTCATGTATGTTGTAATCTTCCTAATCTTTCAGAGGTGATTGGTAGTTACTTTTGCCAGGCAGGCGCTTACGCCACTGAGCTAAACCCCTAGCCCTACTTTTGTATGTTTGTTTTTGTTTCTGAGACAGGGTCTTGCTGTGTTGTTAAGGCTGGCCTTGAGCTGGCAGCGCAGTCTCCCAAGTGCTGGGATTATAGGTGTGTGCTACCATGCCAGCTTCCTTTGTTAGGTTGTTGATTCTTGATTTCAGACCATCATAAGTCTTCCCAGCACTGTCTCAACTTCTGAGGGAGATAAGAGTCAAGGCAGGGAAAAAGAATGACGGTATTGTGGGCATCCCAAGTCTTACCCACCTCTTGTTATCCCCAGAACACACATTACTATGACAAGCGTTGGTCCTGTGAGCTCTTCCTGCTGGTGTCCATCAGCACCTCAGTGATCCTCATGCAGCACCTACTGCCTGCCAGTTACTGCGACCTGCTGCACAAGGCTGCTGCCCATTTGGGCTGCTGGCAGAAGGTGGACCCAGCCCTGTGCTCCAACGTACTGCAGCATCCGTGAGTTGCCTTTCTCTGCTCTGCTCAACTCTAGCCCTCCTGTCAGCATCTGGAGTCACTTGCAAGGGCCATTAACTCTTCAGTTAACTAGTGAACAGCTTCTGAACCTGACTTGTATTTTAGGCCTATCTCCAGAGTAAGATATGTGGAGGCCAAGACAGAATAGGAGGGAGGAACAGAAAGAACATAGCTAAATATGAGTTGAGTGTCAACATGTTTGTAGCTCCCTAGAAGCCCTCCCATAAGATCTAGGCTTCTTCACAGGGCTTCCCAGCACATAAAGTGAGTCCTGCAGGCCTTTTCTCTTCATCTTTTATAGCTTGCAGTGTACTGGAGCTGGGAGGTGAGCAGGTGGTAAATTCAAAGTTTCATTCACTTCATTCATTGATTCACTTTACTCACTGACCGAATTGCTCAACCATGCAGGCATTCATTGCTTACTCCCTCCTGTCTCACCTGCTCACTCATCTACTCAACTGTTAGGTCACCTGTTCTTTGAGGAAACATTTACTTCTACCTATTCCATACCAGGCCTGGTGCTGGTGTATCAGGCAGGGGTGGTTGTACTTTGGCCTATAGGCTGAAAAGCGTCCTAGATATTGAACAACTCAGGTGTGGTGGTGCACACCTGTAATCCCAGCTCTCAGGAGGCTGAGGCAGGAGGATCACCTTGAGTTTGAGGCCAGCCTGGACTAATCCTTAGGCACCAATGAAGAATAAGCCAAGATAAGGGGAGAGCAGCCCAGCACCTTGGAGCTCCTGAGCAGGGTGACATCTGCCTGTAATCTGACTGCAGTGCTGTCTTACACTGAGGCCTCTTTTGCCTCACTCATCCCAACTATTTTGTGTACCTATTTGTGTACAGCCTTTTATCAAAGTATTTTTCAACCCAGTTATGGTCATTTTCCTGCCTGTATTACTCCATGAGACTGGAAGCTCCTTAGGATCAAGACCACCTCTAAATCATCTCTGAGTCTTAGGCCCAGAACAAGTCCTGGCAGATGGAAACCCCTGGAGCCTGTTTGTAGATATAGGTCCACCAAGGAGCAAAAATGCAAAGGAAGGCCAGAAATCCAAGCTTTCTGGTATTGGCCCCCTGTGCCAGTCAGGGTCCCTTTTGTGCTCTGTCCAGGTGATCCAGAAAAGGTAAGGGCCAGAAGTGGGCTTAGCTTAGGCTCAGGCCATGAGGGAAGCGGGGAGTAGAAAGATAGAAAATATTCAAATAGGACCTACCTGTCTGTGGCTCCCTAAGGGGTTCAGATAAGATCCAAGCTTCTTCACAGGGCTGATGAACTGAGTCTGACCTGCCAACCTTTTCTACTCATCTCTTACCATGCCCCACTTGGTACTCTTCTGTAACTATCCAATCCTCTTTTGCTCCTTATATGCTTTATGCACTTTGGCATCCAGGGTTTTCCCCATTGGAATGCTCTTTCTGTCCTTCTTTTGCTGGTTAACTATCTTTAGGACTTTGCTTCTTCCAGGAACACTTCTCTGAGCACCTAGAATGGGTTTAATGTCCTCCTCTCCTTTCGGTCTCCCATGCACCATACTCATTGCAGTTCATGCTTTCTGCTGAGTTCGCTTAGTTTACTGCCCACTCTTCCAGGACTAAAAGCTTCTGGAGACCAGGGCTCTTCCCTGTCTAGCACTCAGCTGTCCTCTCCGTACCGCCAGGGTGCCTGGCTTATGATAAGGTACACTGTAATTTTTTCCTCAGTGTATAGTCTTTTATTTTTAAGGTAAAATTTACATAGGATGAAATATGCAAACTGCAAAGGGTACAATTCTGAGTTTTGATAAAGTCAGTACATTCATACAACTGACACCATCAAGGTATAGAACAATTCTAGGTCCTCAGAAATTTCCTAGTGGCCCTTGTTGTAACCTCTGCCCCCAAGACCTTTATGCTTCATTTTAACATAGGTTAGTTTTACCTGTTCTAGAATTTCTTTTTTTTCTTTTTTCTTTTTGGCACCAGGGATCAAACTCATGATCTCATGCTTGCCAGGCAGGCACCTATGCCACTGACCTAAACCCCCAGCTAGAATTTCTTATAAGTTAAATCATAAGTAGATACTTGTGTCCACTTTCTTTCATTTAGCATATTTATTGTCTTAGAGGTTGACCCTTGTGGTTGTATAAAACACAATAACTTTTTAAAAAGAATGCAGTAATGAGGCAGGAGTGTACATTAGAAGGGAGATTGTAGTTCTCAGTCTCTGATCCAAGACCCTTGGAGTTCCTAGGAAAACATACAGAAACATTGGACAAAAGCTTTCACTGGGCTAACAATCTCATTCACCTGCACATGAGACCTCTCAGTGTCAGGCATTGTGACATTCTTTGAAGACACAGGGATGAGCCTTCCTCTTCCTGGAAGGCTCCCAGTGTCACAAGGGATACAGACAGGAAAATAAATAAATGAGAGACATTGGAAAATGTGGATCAGTAGCACTAGATTCAAGGAATGGTAACTGGATACTCGGCTCTGGGGAGTTTGAGAGATTTTCTAGATGAACCATGGTTTAAAAAGATGATGAGCTTTCAGCCAGAAGGGTAAGATTTCAGGAAGGTCTGTCCCATTAGAGGGGAGAGGACAGAGATTTGAACAGAATGATATGCTGGGAGGGACAGGAACAGTTCTGAGAGGGTTTATGATCTGCATGGCAGGAGTCATGGGAAGCCACACAGGATCTCAGAGGCCATGCAGAATCTATAAATGGGGCATTGGGAAGCCTTCAGTACATTTTAAGGAGAGCATAATCATGCTCAGCCTGGTATTTTACAGAGACCACTTAGACAGCTGTATGGTGAACTGATTGGAAATCAGAGGTGAACCCAGATGAAGTAAAGGCACCCAGAGAGGAAATAGCGCTTTTGTTACAATCACTGAGTCCTAGACCCTCTGAATGCAGTGAATTTCTCAGAGTTCCTGCCTCATTTTACAGAGGGACAACTGGGTCCCAGAAAAGGGAAGTCATTGTGTCTAAGCAATAAAAATGGAAGAAGAGCCCTGGTGATTGCTCAGTGCCTAATCTTATGGTACCCTTTTTCTCGGGTGAGCCCGGGATAAGGGGCACTCTTGAACTATACCTCCAGGTGGACTGAAGAATGCATGTGGCCACAGGGTGTGCTAGTGAAACACAGCAAGAATGTCTACAAAGCAGTTGGCCACTATAACGTGGCCATCCCCTCTGATGTCTCCCACTTCCGGTTCCACGTGAGTCTCCTCCTCTGGAAAGGAGGGTTGGTGCCTGATCTAGAGGGCAGGAGATGGGTGGGAACCAGCAGGGAGGAAGGTGGACACAGCAAAAGAAAGCTGTTTTCAGTATTTCCCAAACCCAAAGAGAGTCAGTGCACACATGCAGCAAAAGGAAAGCCACATAGGTTATCACTTCATTACTGTAGCTCAGTTGGTAACATATCTTTCAGAGCATTGGATGGAGAAGAAGATCATACATAAAAGAATGAGTTTTTGGCAGTTAAAATAACAATGATTACTTCTTGCTGTTTGGTAGACACTGTGCTAAGCACTTCCCATGCACTCTGCCATTCCGTGTTTCTCAGAAACTTGTATATGAGAGAACTGCCAGAGCTAACCCTGTTTTTAGATACTGAAATTGACTTTAGCAGTTTAGTTTCACTAGCACCTTACTGGGAAACTTGGGAACTGACAACAGTGACATGTAACTCTCACTGTGGAACAGGAGTGCTTAAAATCAGTTAGGTTAGTGTTCTCTGTTCTGTTTCCTTTTGTTGGTTTGGTTTTGTTTTTGTTTTTGAGATAGGGTCCCACTATGTAGTGCAGGCTAGCTTTGAACTCACTATGTAGCCCAAGCTGGCCTTAAACTCATGGCAATCCTCCTGTCACAGCCTCCCAAGTGCTGGCATTACAGATGTGTGCCACCACTCCTGGTTTATTTTTTTTTAAACTCCTTTAAAAATAAAAAAAAATAGCTGGGCGTGGTGGCTCACCCTGTAATCTCGGCACTTGGGAGGCTGAGGCAGGAGGATCGCTGGGAGTTCAAGACCAGCCTGAGTTACAAAGTGAGCTCAAGACCAGCCTGAATTGCATAGAGAGACCCTGTCTCAAAAAATTTTTAAAAAGTTAAAAAATAACTTTTTCCAACACAGTCAGAGAGCAAAGCCCAACTCAGAGAACTTTATGGCATTGCTCTATTTGAAAATACTGGAACCCCCTTAATTTCCCACTCACCTTTGCTAAACCTAAGGGATCACAGAGAAACTGGGGCTCTGAGGATCCCAGCTTGAGACATTACTTATCTGAGGTGTTACTGGCATTTCATAGTTGAGAAACCCGAGACCAAAAGAGAAGGGATTTACCCACTCTTGTAGTGTGTTGGGTACAGAACTAGCCTGGCACCGTGGTCTCTTGAATTCCATTTCATACCACCTATCTTTGCACGTTTGTTTTTTTTTCTGAAACAAGGTCTTGCTGTGTAGTTCAGGCTGGCCATGAACTCACTATGTAGTCCAGGCGGGCCTCAAACTCATGATAATCCCCCTGCCTCAGCCCCCTGAGTTCTGGGATTACAGGCTTGTGCCACTACGCCCAGCTATCTTCCTATTTTATAAGCAGCTCTTTAAGTTTCATTATTTTGGCCCTGTAGAATCAAGACCCTAGACATAAAACACACTTTTGAACTTAAAATATTTCTTGATTTATATTCCACGTTGCTCTGAAACACCAGGTAACAGTAAGGTGTTATTGCCAGGCATGGTGGTACACGCAGATAATTCCAGCACTTGGGAGGCTGAGGCAGGAGGATCATTGCAAGTTCGAGGCTAGCATGGCTACAAAGTAAGTTCAAGGCCAGCCTGAACTACATAGTAAAACACTGTCTCAAAAAGACAAAAAAGAAAAAGTAATGTGTTACTATGTCCCTTAGAATTTTCGACCTAGCTAAGGATACTGCATAGGAAATAGTAGACACTGAGCTATAGTTTTCTGCACAAATACTATAAAATTCTAATTTGTTCAGAACCCAATAATAACTCAAGAGAGTGACATACAAAGATGTTGTTATGTATCAAAATACCACATTGAAACCCAATATTTTGTAAAATTAATAGGTACTAATAAAAAACATATTAGTAAATAAGCTTGGCATGGTAGTACATTCCTGTAATCTCAGCACTTGGGAGGCTGAGGCGGGAAAAATGCTGTGAGTTGAAGGCCAGCCTGAGCTACAGTGAAACCCTATCTCAAATAATAATCTAGAAAAATAAATACATAAATAAAAGATGTTGATTTTAGACCAGAAAAAGTAAGCAAGACCACTCAAGAAAGGATTCCTGGAAAGGGTGTAAGTTGAACAGGATCGTAAATGATTTAAGTAGAAGCAGCAGCCCTATCAGAAGGAATACCACAAGCAAAGACAGATGAGGTGGCAAAGCCTGTGCACAATCCTACAAAGTCTCCCTCCCAGCCAAGTCTGCATGGGGTCCCAAGAGCTTGTCCCCTTCACTGGCCCACCAGAGTCCCCTCATCCTAGATAGAGCACATCTTCCAGCCCATGCCTGTCCTTCCCGGGCAGTTCTTTTTCAGCAAACCCCTGAGGATCCTCAACATCCTCCTGCTGCTGGAGGGCGCTGTCATTGTCTACCAGCTGTACTCCTTAATGTCCTCTGAAAAGTGGCACCAGACCATCTCACTGGCTCTCATCCTCTTCAGCAACTACTATGCCTTCTTCAAGCTGCTACGGGACCGCCTGGTATTGGGCAAGGCCTACTCGTACTCAGCCAGCCCCCAGAGAGACCTGGACCATCGGTTCTCCTGAGCACCCAGGTGACCTCAGGGACAGCATCCAGGCTTCGGCCAGGGACTCCCTGGCAAGGGGCTGTTGCAGAATTGAATAGGGAGAAAAACTAAAACAAACAAAAAAAAACCCACCAGAGCTTTGTATTTTTGTTACGTACTGTTTCTTTGATAATTGATGTGATAAAAAGAAAAAAAGTCTTATTTTTATACTCCCAACAATCCTGTGTGCTGTGTTTCTTTCCCTTTTTGACTGTCAGGTAAAGTCCAGAAGGTGGAATTTGGGGCTGGGACGCTCTGTATGTGACTCCTAGGATTCTGTAGGCCCTGCCTTCCCAGTGGACAGAGTGGGGGAGCATCAGTGCCCATGGTAGTAATTAATGATGCTGACTGAATGTTTGCTGCGTGCTAGAGGCTGCTCTGCATATTTTTATACTTTGTCAATCTAACTTATAACAACTCTAGTAGGTGTGTGCAGTCACTACTATAGATTTGAGCTAGAGTCCAGTGAGCTATACTGAGAGCTATACTGATTTGCCTGCCCTTGGTAACACAGCTAGGAAGTGGTAGAGCTGGGCTTTAAAAACACAACTGAAAGCTGATTACCTGTCCTAGAAAACATGATGTCTTCACACTCACAGAGTATAGTTACTACAGTCTTGTGTGCTAGGTATTATTTAGCGGGTGAGGATCTTAAAACGCAAGCAATACTATGCTGAACTGAGTACAGTACAGAGTAGCACAGGGAGTGGATGAATGGCTAGTGCTCTCGGGCCTCCTTGGAGGAGCCACTAGTCTAAGTTGTATTAGTCACTTCACAGGTGGACAAGAGGAAAGGCATTCCAAGAAGAAAAAAAGGGCACCTGCAGTAGTCTGTGTTTGGGGAGATGAAGAGGATTGTGGTTCCTGGAGTAGAAAGGATAAGGAAAGAAGGGTAAAGATGTGGCTGAAAAGATCAGCCAGAGGCTGGGTAGGGAAGACCAACGGCCCGAGGCTAGGGACAGTGTATATCTAGGGTCAAATGCTACAGTGGAAACAAAGCGGCCTCTAGACCGCAGCTTGATGGGGGCCTACCTGTATTCTCACCTACTCAGGCAGCCAAAGCAGGAGGACCACTAGTTTGAGACTAGCTTGTATAATTTAATGAGACCTTGTGTCAAAATAAAAGATATGGGGAGTGTGGCTTAGTGGTAGTGCTTGCCCAGTATGTGCTATGTCCTAGATTTTTCCCAGCACTACAAGAACAGACAAATGTTTAGAAGCTTCTGTCAGCAGATGAACGGTTCAGGAACTGGAAGGAGGAAATGCAGACCATATAGTCCACATTCCCTGAGTTCTTTTCTTTTACTTTTTTTTTTTTTTTTTTGTCTTTTTCTTTTTTATTGGTACCAGGGATCGAACTCACTACCACACACTTGCAAGGCAGGAGCTTATGCCACTGAGCTAAATCCCCAGCCCCATTCCCTGAGCTCTTAATGGCCACAGTGTACACAGATGAGCTCGGTGTTGGATTGGAAACAGGTACCTCAACAGTTTTTTGGTACCTTCAAGCAGACAGTGTACTAAATATTGGAATAATTACAAAGACAGAAGGTTTCATCCCTCCCTTAGACAACTGGGAGAGATGGACACACCTTGTGAACTAATTAAAGTGTGAAGTGCTAAGGAAAACAAGTATCCAACCACATGTGTAAATACTACATTGTTTCTCTGGTGTACAAAACCAGAAGTGTAAATAAGGACCAAAATGTATAATATGTATCATGTAATAAGAAAATGTTCAAATGAGAAGGGTATCTTGGAAAGGGGGTGGAAAGGGAAGATGGAAGGGGAAAGAAAAAAGTGAGAAAAGAAAAAATGGAACCACCTTTTGTAAATAAGGGAATAGGTGAAAGGCAGGTAGGGGAATGGGAAAAACAGGTACAAATTCTCTATGATGAAATATATATATATATATACATATGCCAATAAACAATTTTTTAAGTGTCAGGACACTGGGGAAGAAGGGAAGACAGGATTCTTTGGAGAGCTAACTGTTAATTTTGTCTTGAAAATGAATAGCTCTACGTGGTCAAGGCGGGGGAGATCACTGCATTTGAACAGGTAACAAAATAATAAAAGCACAAAAGAAGATAGCATATTCAGAAAGTGGTACTGACAAGGACTAGCCTATATGACTGATTGAAATATGTGGACATTACCCAAGAACAGGCAGTGGGAAGTTGCTAAGAAGAGAAGTGACCATATGCGGTCTCTGTTTTTAAGGAAATAGGTGGGAGTGGTAGAGTCAGGACAAGAGACCTATGAAGGGACAGACTAAATAGAATGATGAGGTCCGACCTTGAGCAGTAGCAGGGAAAAGAAGTAGTCTTTCTTTTCCTACCTTTGACTCAGAATTTGCCTTTTGTGTTGTCTCCTTTAATAGACCAGGCATCCAACTAGAGTTGGCAAATTATGATAGAACTAGATATCAGGTCCTTCATTATTCTGTCTCCAATGGTAGTTGGCATTGTGGCACATAGCCTGATATGCCATAATATAATTACATATTACCAGCACTCAGGAAGGTTATGAATTGAATGCCAGCACCCTGAAGTGGGTGGGGATGTTGACTGTTTTGGGATCAGTGAATTGACAATATTGCCTGGCTCTGTGTGTCGAGGTGGAAGACTGCAGGGTTGGCATGTCACTGTGCAAAAAGGAAGGCCTAACCACTCATAGTGGTACATGTCTGTAATCCCAGCACTCAGAGGCTTATGCAGGAGGATCATTGCAAGTTTGAGACCAGCCTGGGCTACAAAGTGAGCACAAGGCCAACCTGAACTGCATAGCAAGACCCTGTCTCAAAAAGACAAAAAAACCTTGGAAGACCATAAATTAATTGATTCAAAAGGCACATGAACATTGGGAGCCTCAATTTCCTTATCATTAAAAAAGGATTATATCCCTTACTCTTTAACTCATCCTCTCATTCATTTATTTGTTTATTCAACAACCAAGTGTTGGATAATGTACCAGGTGCTGGAAATACAGTGGTCTTGCTGGCATGAATTTGTGATCCTCCTGCCTCAACCTCCTCAGTGTTGGGATTATAGACATTCACAACCACGCGTAGCCTAAAATTACAATTTTAGGGTTTTGGGTGGTAGACACACTAAGAATTTGGGTTTAATCTTGACTTCTTCCATTCCTTGTCTCTCATAGCCTTGAGCAACTCACTTCTCCTTGCCAGATGATTCTATATTCATAATTAGCTGAAAGTGTATAGTTGGCTTTAATTATGAAAAAATTTTGGGGAGAAGGAGGTCATACTATAAAGAAGAAACAGTGGTAGAAACAGTTGCGAACTTGGCACACTTAACTTTCTTTAGTACGTATCCGTCTGCCATCATCAGTGGCTGCGTTCTCTTTAAGTGTGTGCCTTTGGTATAAACTAGGTAAGAAGGGGTGGGGAGAAACAACGCGTTTCAACCAGGCTTGCAATGTTTGTCCGTTTCGGGCTGCCGTCCTGCAGATCCGCCATATTGTTTGCTGAAGCTGCCTCCGAAGCTGCCGCCCCCGCCGCCGCTACTGCCGCTGCCGCGGCCAAGTCTGAGCGTGCGGAGTCGCGATGGGTGAGTAGGAGAACCAGGTAGTTCGGTAGTTGGGCTGAGGAAATGTTAGGCATGGGGTCTGGTAAAAGTCTATTTCTGGTGTGAGGAAGATATTTGAAACCGCTGTCGGTAGGTCTGAGGAGCGAAACCAGGCCGGAGTGCCCGAGGCCAGTTTGGGGCCAGAGTAGGGCTGCTCGCACTGCAGTCAGACACTGGGTCCGGAGACAACTTGGAAATCCTCGGGCCCGAGACCACGCGTTCCAGGGATATAGAAATGGGCCTGCCTCCTGACCTGCGCCAAGACCGGGGCTGAGGGGCCGGGCTGTGCTGGCCGCAGGCCTGGGCGCCGCTGAAGGCTATTCCCGATGTGTTTGGCTGTCTTGCTTTTTGAGTAGATTAACTGGCTCCTCTGAACTTAGGTAGTTCTACCTACTTCACAGAGATAGTCCTACGTATGTCCTACCTGGTAAGGAAACTCCGGGCAGTCCAGCTTCGGACCAGTAATCGGGTAGTCAGGCTGGCGGCAGTTGCGGGTACTGAAGGCCGGGAGAACTTCCCCAGCCGAGGCGGAAACTGGGTGATTCCGTTGGGCTGAGTGACAGGCTCATAGTGTTAGAAAACCATTTGCTAAGCCTTCTTGGCCGTGTATACGTAGGGGACTCAGGTTTCTGGGCCAACCCTGATTGGGAGAAAAAGAGAGACCTGTTGATCATTTTGTGTCCGGCAAGGCCTCTGTTCAAAGAATACGATTACGAAGATTTTGGAAGTAGAAACAAAACCAGCGTTAGTATATCGTCTGCCACATTAAAGGCTTAAATTCCAAGCAGTGTTTTGACTGCCTTACATGTTTTTGTTTTGCTTAATTTGTACAACCTAATGACATACATACTGCCATTGTTCCTATTTTTCAGACAGGGAAAATGTAATTTACCCAAGGTCACACAGTTAGTGGTTAAACCAGGTTGAACTCCAGAACTGGTAGATTATAACTACTGCTGTTTATGGCCTGGCCCTCTAGTGGTTGGGCTAAAAGAAGGGGAAAGAAAGCTTTTAACATTACAACAAAGTTGTAAAGGTGTTTTTACTTGTGGGCACACTTCGAAATCTTTAGTCTGGAATGAAACCCGAAGAACACCAACTGTTATTTCTCCTGCTGTTGTGTAGGGATGGCCTGGTGGCATTCTAAAATTTTGTATATTTTCTGATCCTGATGAAAAATGAATTATTCCCTTGAGTTGCAAGGTATTAGAATCAGATCTGATAATCTGGCCAGCCACTAACAGACTCATCAAGAGGTCACTTCACATATGAAACAGTGCATATGAAAAGCTTCTACCACAATCCACAATGTTATTTTCCTTCATTTCTGATCCTTCCTTTCCTCTAAAAACGAGAGTAGTATCAAGATGTTTAGAGACTGCCTGGCATGATGGCGCAATACTATAATCATGGCACTCAGGAGGCTGAGGCAGGAGGGTCATTGTAAGTTCCAGACTAGCCTGGGGTTACAAAGTGAGCTCTCAGCCAGCCTAAACTGCATAGCAAGATACTGTGTCAAAAAAGACAAAAAAAAGTTTAAAGTTTGGAGACTAAGATGATACAGTATTTAGGGCTTAGTAAGGATTCTATAAATTTCTTTTTTTTTTAAGGGCTCTATAAATTTCAAAACAAAACCTTTACCACTTCCAGTACTGTTAGTTCATTTTCCATAAGCACTCTGGCTTCCAGAATCCTCTGGAAAAGATAAGACCTCTTTTTAGTAGCTAAAGCTTTATGTATCAGTGAAAATTTTTACTGGGTTGAGATTGTGTAGCTCAGTAATAGAGTCCTTGCGTAGCATGTCCAAGGCTCTGGGTTCAGTTTCCAGCACGACAAAAAAAAAGTGAGAAAGAGAAAAAAAACTTTAGCTTTTATATTATAGTAAGACTTCGTGTTAGTCTTTAATTTCAGAAAAATAGGTTCCCTCAAAAGAGGGAAAGAATTGATTTTTATTAAGCTCAGTGACATAAATTTTTACAGATTGAGAAACGACAACGGAGAAGATAACATAGCTAATAAACAGCCAAACCAGGGGTGAGTTTTGTTTTGTTTTCTTGTCTCCTCCACCCCCACCCCAGTGTTACTGTGTTTTGAACCAAAGACTTTCTCCACTGTCCTGGGCAGAAAAATTATAGGCCTATACCACCACACCCAGATGGAAGCAAGGATTCTTACCCTTTGCATAAACCTATAAGAAATTTTAAGATGTTAAATTGTGACACCAAGCATGGTGGCACAGGCCCATAATCTGAACACTTGGGAGGCTGAGACAGGAGGAATGCTCAGTTTGAGACCAGCCTGGGTTACACAGTCAGTTCAAGGCTGTCCTGAACTGCATAGTGAGACACTGTCTTAAAAAACAAAAGAAAAAACCCCAGCATGATGGCTCACACCTGTAATCCCAATACTTGGGAGGCTAAGGCAGGAGGATCGGAAGTTCAAGACCATCCTGAGCTACAAAGTGAGCTGTATATGAGCTACAAACCTGAGCTGTATAATGAGACCCTGTCTCAAAAAGACAAAAAAAGAAGGAAAGAGGAGGGGAAGGATATAGCTCAAAAGATGTAAGCACCTGTGTGGCAAGTTACAAGGTCCTGAGTTTGATTTCAGGTATCAAAAAACAGAAAGTTGTTTGGTGGAGCAACAATACCTGATCAAGGTCCTGAAAAGAATTTTTACCGTAGAGCAGTGGTGGCAAACCTATGGCTCCTTTGTCATTGAAAGTTCTGAAAGGTTGGCCATCACTAGTCTAGAGTTGGGTAACCTCTCACCTTGTTATCCAAGTAGTTTTGTTGATTTTTTTTTTTTTTTTTCTGGTACAGGACCGCCTGCTTGCAAGGTAGGCGCTTATGCCGCTGAGCTAAATCCCCAGCCATCCAAGTAGTTTTGTTTATCTCCACTTACAGTGACAAACTGAGATTTTGAGATTAAGTTACTAGCCCAGAGGTGATAATTTAGACCCTGTAGATGCTAAGGATACTCACCTCATTTCACTGCCTTTCAAGTACATTCTCTCATTAGCTCTGGCTATTTGTCAGCACTGTCCTATGCTATATCTGTTGCGCCGGACTTCACAACCCTTAACAGAACTTTGTAGTGATTTCTTTGCCATTAACAGCACTAAATGGGTGATGCTTGTACTCTCCCTAGCAAAGACTTAAACCTCATGTGTCTTGACAGAAATACTGCTTATTTTATCACTGTTCCGACACTTTGCTAACTTGGTACTGTATCTGGCAGCCCTTCCCCAACTCCAGGGGTTAGATCTTATTTAATGTAAACCCTAAACCCCATTTTAATTCTTATCTCCCTGGAAGGTGATTGATTTAGGCGTAGACATACAATGCAATGCGATTCTATTAGATGTGAAGAAAAGCCTTGAGAACTTCTGGAGTAGCCTTTCTTACTTAGAAGTAATGTGCCAGTTTTTGTTTTTTTATTTTTAATTTTTGCCAGTTTGTATTCTAACTCATGCTTTACCAAACTGAGACCTTCACAAAAAGATAGGAAAACTATAATAATAATGGTCAGTGTTTATGTGGAACTTGTTAAATGCTAGGCATTCTTTTTTTTTTAAACAGTTTCACTATACAGTTCAGGCTGACCTCAAACTCTTGGCAATCCTTTTGTCTCAGCCTCTTGAGTGCTGGGATTGTAAACATGCACTACCATGCCCAGCCTTAAGCATTCTGACTTTTACATTATTCATTTAATTCTCAATTTCTAGTGTTTTAGTTCAGGAAAATGAAACACAAAATGCTTCAGTAATTAAGCAGGGTCATGTAGCATGTTACAACTTTTCTGTTAATAACAGACTACTAATATGATGTTGACCACATAAAGTATAATGGAGTTGAGCTAGTTGTAGTGGCACATGCCTGTGATCCTAGCACTAGGCAGGCTGAGGCAGGAAGATCTTTGGGAATTCAAGGCCAGCCTAAAGTACATAGTGAGACCCTGTCTCAAAACTACAGAATATAACGAACCAAAAAAGATTATTTAGAGTTGGAAAATTCGGTGAACATAAAACTGCAGACCATAACAGATTCCTTAAAAAGTTTGAAAAGAGTCAAGTGTTATGGAGCATGTTTGTAGTTCTAGCTACTTGGGAGGCTGAAACGGGAAGATTGTAAGCTTAAGGCAAGCCTGGGCAATTTAATGAAACCCTGTGTCAAAAATTTTAAAAATGAGGAAAGTGTAGTGATGTAGCTAAGTACTAGAGCACCGTCAGGCTTGATTCTCAGTACCTAAATAAATAAATAAATAAATATTTGAAAACGTGGATCAAAACACCAAAATTTTCACTTACAGGAATATCCATGATATATTATTTGCCTATAAGCTAGTCTATCATGAAAAAAAGAAACCAAGCAAACAAACTACGATGGTCATACATATTTATGAAAAGAATGATGCTCTGCTCAGGAACCTCAGGCCAGTACTTCAGGAGTATTTCAGAAGGAGATACCAGCATAGATGACAGGGCCGTGCATGTTACTGCCTCTGAGACCTTCCAGTGGGATAAGTTGTAGAGACAGAAGATGATGATATTGATGACCTTGACCTTTTGTTCATTGTGGATTTTGGTATGGGGAATCAAACTCAGAACCTTGTGCTTGCCAAGCAAGTGCTTGTGCCATGAGCTAAATCACCAGCCTAATCCTTTTGATAGGGCTACATTGTTTTCTATTTGACTTAAAGGAGATTGAACACAGGGCCTTGTGCATGTTAGGCAAGTATTCTACCACTGTGCTACACACCCACCCCTAAGTGTGTTTGTGTCTTAATTTAACAAGTTAAAAAATGAAAAGGAAAATATGAAGTAAAGAAAGTATCTTCAGACAGTTACGTAATGTAGTTGCGTTTTAATTGTTACCACAAAGAAGCCAAAAATTTTTTTTAATTAAAAGTTCATTTTTAAAGCTGAATAAGTGGGGCTGGGGATTTTGCTCAGCGGCATAATCGCCTGCCTTGCAAGCAGGCAGTCGTGAGTTCGATCCCTGGTACCGATAAAAACGAAAAAGACAAAAAAAAAAAAAAAAAAAGCTGAATAAGTTTAATTTGGGTATAATGAAATTTTTAAATTAAAATTTTAGAAGGTAGGGCCGGGGATTTAGCGGCATAACCTGGCAAGTATAAGGTCAGGAGTTTAATCCCCAATCCCTGGTACCAAAAAAAAAAAAAAAAATATATATATATATATATATATATATATATATGGGCAAAATATATTAAACTAAGATAAATTTATTATTGGTGAAAGGAAAAACTTCTTTTTGAGACAAGATCTTGCTGTGCTGTTCAGGCTGGCCTTGGGCTCACTTTGTAGCCCAGACTGGTTTCAAACTTGCAACAATCCTCCTGCCTCAGCCTCCCGAATACTGGGGATTACAGGAGTGCGCCACCAAGGCCGGCAAAAAAACATTTTTTGAGACAGAGTCTTGCTCTGTATTTCAGGCTGGTCTCATAATTACTATGTAGCCCAGGCTGGCCTTGAACTCAGGAACCTCAGGCCAGTACTTCAGGAGTATTTCAGAAGAAGACAAAGACCAACTGACTTATATCTTTGTGTTACTATTGGGCCTGCTATGTGATCCCCCTACCTGAGCCTCCTGAATGCTGGGATTGCAACAATACATCACTACAACCAGTGTTAAAAGAATTTGTTGTTGTTGTTATGGTGTGTGTGTGTGTGTGTGTGTGTTTGTTTTCGTGCCAGGAATCCAACTCAGGAACTTGTATTTGCCAGGCAGGTGTTTATGCTGCTGAGGTACATCCCAGCCCAGAAAGGATTTTTTAAAATAAACTTAGCCTAAATGTACAGTATTTATAAAGCCTACAGTGCAGAGCAATGTCCTAGGCGTTCACTTTTTTTTTTTTTTTCCTGTCTTTTTGAGACAAGATCTCCTACACAGTTCAGGCTGGCCTTGAGCTCACTCTGTAGCCCAAGCTGTTCTGGAATTTGCAACAATCCCTTCCTGCCTCAGCCTCCTTAATGCTGGAATTACAGGCATGTGCCACCACGCCCAGCTAGTCCCAAAACTCTTGAGAGACTGAGGCAAGAGGATACAAATTCAGTTATATCGGGACAATTTAGCAAGACCCTATCTCCAAAGAGAAAAATAGTGGGAGTGAGGCGCTAGAAATGTAGTTCAGTGCAGAAGCCTTGGGGTTCAATTTCAGTACAAAACAAAAACCTCACTGAAAGTATTACTACTTCAAGAACTATTGAAATTAATTTCTTCTGTAGTATCCCCTGTGATTACTGGTTCTGCTGCATCAGTGTTTTTTTGTTTTGTATTTATTTTTGAATTTTTAAAGACAGGATCTTGTGATGTAGTTCAGCTGGCCTTGAATCACTGGGCCTCAAATTTACAGTGATCCTCCAGCCTCAGTCTCCCAAGTGTTAGGATTACAGGTAGACACCATGCCTTGCTTCTAAAACATTTTTCTGCATGGTACATAGCACATAGTAAATATTCAACTACTAACTATTAGACACGTGATAAACAGAATGATTGCTGATAACTAGCAGTCTTCACTTTGTAAACAAAGTCACTCCTGATAATTAATAGTAGTTAATAAAACTTAATAAAGTGTTTTTTGTATGTCAGGCCCAATAGTAACACAAAGATATAAGTCAGTTGGTCTTTGTCTTTGAAGGAACAGTAGAAACATTGTAACAGTAGAAATATTAAGCATTTTTTGGTGGTGCTAGGAATTGGACTTAGCCTTGAGCATGCTATGTAAGTGCTATACCACTGAGCTATATCTCCAACCCACTAGACCCATATTATGGCCTGGTCTGGTCTGGTTTGGTCTGATCTTTTCTTTTCTCTCTTTCTTTTTTAAAATCATCTTGAGACAGGGTTTCACTATGCAGTTCAGGCTGGCCTTAAACTCACTTTGTAGTCCAGGCTGGCTTCAAATTCATGGCCATCCTCCTGCTTCAGCCTCCTAAATGCTGGGGTTATAGATATGCACCACCATGCCTGACAGAAAGCATATTATGAATGTTTGTCTGAAACTCTTAT